AGATCGAGGAATCAAGACTGTGTAGAGAGATCTCTAGATTTGACAGAGTTGACTGAATATCAGTTATGCTTGAGTGGAGACTGGATGCTTGTTGAAATAGTGATTTAATACAGAAAGGGCAGGCAAAGGGAAAGGAGGAAGAGACAGTAGATGGAAGACCAATACAGGATGAATGGAGCCATTTAAGGCAAGATTCACATTCAACCATATGGCCTTCTTCCTCGTTGGATCCACAGACACAATGAACTTGCTCATTGGCTGTGTTGGATATTGAGGAACCTGTGGCAGCAACAGAAGAAGTAGACGGGGGAACCTGTACAGAAGGACAGGAAGGAGACAAGGGTGGAGGACTGTGATGCCAGGAAGTTGCCAAGTTGGATTGAGAGGAAGAAACTGTGGTGGTAGCAGAGGAAAGAGAAACAGCTGGGGGTGCTTGGGCTCTTTTCTTGGCAGCCAGTTTATCTTTAGCTTTCTTTTTATTCTGTTCAGCATGGGTTAGCTTTAAGATAGAAGTATAGAACTAGATGAGGGAGAGAGCTTGTTCTTGTCAGCCATACTTAGTCATGTGGTTAAATAATGGTGTATACTGGCACCACTGCTGGAATGACAGGTGTCAAAAGGACAGTTCTTGCTCAATAACAGCCCTAGATGCAAGTGTCAAGCTGCATTCGTCTCCTAGCAATGTATAATAAGACGCCTGTTTCCGATCCCTTTCATTTACTCTAATATCTATGATACATTTAGATGTTGATGCTCCTCCTCCTCTACCTGATGAAGTACAGTTAGTAAAATACAACAACACATTACAAGCTCTTTCACTGAAGATACCTGATGTACTCCTACCATCAACATCATTACTGGATATAGTAGAAGTGAGCACACCACAGTACATAAAATTTAATTTAAGACATGCTAACATGTAACCAAATACTGAGAAATACTTTGAGATTAAATAGGACAGGTATAGATACATTCTTACTTTGCTCCTGTCCTTCATAACAACTAATCTTAGATACAACACCAGTCTACAGCAGCAGCTGAGTGTATCCATTCCATTTCCACTGGATGAAAATATATGTAAGAACTTTTTATCAGCTGTCAAAAGAAGAGCTTCACACCAGATCAATCATACAGTAACTGTAGTGAGGAAGAGAAGAACAAAGTAATGACACCATTGTTTTATGAACAGGTACTACCTGTTGTTACTAATTATGTTGCAGTCACATAGAACCATCAGGCTACTAAGAATATCATGCAACATTAATAAAGAGTCATCTCAACCCGAGTCTCAACCTAACTGGATAAAATTAGTACAATATTTATACAAAACTATTTTTATCCATCCATTGCTTGAATGTATTTAGATTTATACTGGAATCCTTAATGCTCTTCCTCTCCCAGGGAATATAAAAAAGACATTGATTGATAGAAAAAAGAACCACACAAACCACTACCAATTGTAAAATTTTAACTGAGAATATGAGCATTCCTTTCCTTTTTTTTCATTTCATTCTTTGAGATTGATATTGTGAAGTTGTAAAGTTGTTGTTGCTATTGTCCATTAAAAATCAACATGCAGAAAGCTAATTGCATTAACACATATTTAACAATCATGGCAGCCACATGAAGAAGAAAGGAAACTGTGGAAGAGGTGTGGCTATAACATAAACCCTACACACAAACCCCCAGCCATGACTAACTGTATGTATTAAAGAGATACAATAACCTATAGACATTAGAATGAACCAAAATCATTGCCCAAACTAAATTAATCAGTACACGCATTAGTACATGTACATGTGCAAAACACTATTTAGTCAACCAGTCGTAACCATGCAGCAGTGAATAGCAGTCTTCACTTCTACATGTACTGTAGCAGTTTAGGGACTTTTGCCGGCTTAAAAATTATTTTAAAAATCCAAACTGGATCAGAATCCTCAAACTAGTTAAGCAACATAAGTACGTGCATTATGTATCAGGAAAGTAATAAAAATGGAGAATTCTTACCTTTTAAATTTTAGCAAAATTAGGTTTGCGACCCTGTATTATAGTACAGGGACATTTGCCCAATTTCTAAGCAACTTTAAAAATTAATTGTTAAAAATCCAAACTTCATTGGAATCAGCTCAAACTTTCTGCACAACATACGTGTAAATATAATTATGCATTAGAAAATGTACTAAAATGACGAGGTGTTTTTGATGAAATTTAGCCAAAGATTATATGTACAGTTTTATAGTAAGGGTGTTTCATCAAGTTTGAGCATACATTATACAGTACATTTGGTACTGTGTGAATTATCCCTGTAATAGCTTTAATATTACATGTAAATGATATGCTTTGGGACAGAAAATTAGCATAAAGTTTTATAATCCTTAAAAAATTAAAAGTTGATCAAATTATTAATAAATTACACACCAATAACACAATAAAGAGTTAATTGTCAAAACCAATCAATAAATAATTAAATAAATTGTACTTCAATTAGTTTTTCTTTCTTGAGAACCTAGTCTTCTTCTTACCAGCTGGTGGACTACAGACTGCACAAACATTCTTTAACGATACATAACAATCCCTAGGTAAGGGTTAAACCATCAATAATTACTATTGTCTGTCATAAAACAATATTATGTACACCATCCACTTCAAAATTACTGAAAGTACAGTAGTTTGAATATTTAATTGCATCAGCCAGTAAATGATACACATAACAAAAATTGATTATCAAGCACAAAATTTAGACAAGTCAAATCACCATTGCATTATACATACATTCAACTGTACATGCATTTACATGTACCGTATTTCCTTAAAAAAAGCCCAGGCGCCTATTTCCTAAAATGGTATTTGGACCTCAAAAAAATATGAAAAAATAAAAAATAAAAAACTTTGTCCCAGAGCAGGAATCGAACCAAAGACTTCTTGCATTTGACTCCTGGAACTTAAGGCAGTATCGCTGAGTCACTTCATGCCTGGATTTGCATATTTATACTTCAATTCTATTGCTACCCCGGCGTTTATTTGCATGTGGCTTCTATTTATGGATATATGGTAACTTTCTACATGTACATGTACTTGTATTTACCTGTGAAAGTGTGAGGAGCAGTTAGGACATATAACTACATCTTTACTAAACCTGAACAACAGATCCCTTGAATGACAAACAGCACATGCTGTACCATTAGCTGAACATTTCTACATAAAAATATAACAAGATAACACATAACTAGTCACCTGTACATTATGCAGGGCAAGTGGGACTATTTGCCCTGGGCCTCCAATCATAGAGGGCATATAGTAAAATCTTGGGTCTTGGGGAGCTAACACAAACTTTATAATGCAAGCAACTTTCAATTTTGAAGACAAAATTAAGTAAACATCATTTGACAAAAAAGCTTCAAGAGTTGTTCTTACATAAAATTATGCATGTATGTACATGTACATGTACATGTACATATTCATTACTGGTAATAAGGATGGGGTAATTTGCATTAATAGGGGACCCCATCAGAGTTTCTGTCCTACGCTCCACATACCCTATTTTCAGCCCTGTTGTACATGTAAATGTACATGTACATACTGTACTGTACCTCACACTCATTGGTGATGTGACTTAGGAACATTTGATGAACTACTTCAAGTTGTGAGAGGAGATTACCCTCTTGAACATTCATGAGGTCAGAGAGTGAAAACAAAATGGAGGAGTCTTTAAAATGAGGCCATGAGTTGAGCTGTATATTAATTGACTTAATTTAATTTCAATTCAATTAATGTTCAGTTACTTCTTGTATCAGTTTTTCAGTTCTTGCTCTTTCACATTTCACAAGATACTCTTTCATTAGTATTATATCTTTACGTAATACCTAATGTATACATGTATACAAAAAAGGATAAGTACATGCCATGTACATGTACATTGTATAGCTGGTAATTTTGAAGGGTAAAAATTAATGTTTTGGTGATTGGCAGGTATTAGTTTAGCAAATGTGCATCCATGTGTCATTGAGCATGTACATACATGTAATGGTTCAAAATTGTGGGTTTTATTTTTAAAAGTGACTATTGAAAGACAATTAAATCAACAAAAATTCTCTTTCCCATATAATCAGTTGTACAGTACTTAATATTATTACTATAATTATTACTATACCTCAATGGTAGTTATTTCATGTACATAAGTGTAGAGTGTTGGATTAACTGATTTAACATTTATTAATGGACGAGAGATCAAAGCATTCAATAACTTATAACAACCACAACAAACCTACAGTATACAAGAATAATAAAATGAATAATTGACATGTAAATCGTACATACTATACATATAAGATGCAATTTGAAAATCTATTGTGGCCTTAATTTTTGTAGTTTTTCATTTTCAGTGTCTTAAACAACAAAAGATCCAATTAAAAAATGCAAAAACTTTTGGGGCACAAATTTTTTTGCTATTATAGACAATAAAAAAATAAAGTTATATAACATAGCCTCTCTTAATAGATGCTCTTTTCATTTAACAAACAACACCTAGTGTACCAATAAATTCCTTACTATAATACAATAACTTCTACACAAAAGACACCTCTGTATAACAGAGCAGAGCTTAAAATAACATTCAAACAATGTTCAGACATTGTGTCTGAACAATGCTTAACTTGATCTGCCATTTTTAATGGTTGGACAGAGTTTCCCACAGGATTTCGGCATACATGTACATGTAGTCTTCATGCAGCATCTTGTGCCATGTAGTGTCAAGTACTACATGCACAGGTATAGTACAGGGTATTTAGACAAAGTCACAATTCTTGATTCTAATAATTTTTTTGTGTATTATCCTAAATTATAATTCATAATAATAATAAATGCATTATAAATCATTAAAATAATTTTGATGGGCTGATTCAAATGAAATTTAATTTTTAAAAAAATTTTAAGTTACTCAAAAATTGGGCCAAAGTAGGTGCCTGCATGCACTATGTGGTGTACAGGAATTTTGGCAAAATTTCATGAAAAATGAAAAGTAGAGAATTCTTCATTTTTGTAATTTTTCCTGATACGTATAAATGTTCTTATGCTGTGTGGAAAGTTTGTGCTGATTCTAATCAAACTTAAATTTTTTACAAATTGTTAAACTTGCTAAAAATTGGGCCAAAGTCCCTGCATGTACAGGGATTTTGGCAAAATCTCATGAAAATGAAAGTAGAGAATTCATTAATTTCATAATTTTTCTGATACGCATATTGCATACATGTTCTTATGCTGTATGTAAAGTTTGAACTGATTCCAATCAAATTTGGATTTTTATGAATTTTCTAAATTTGTTCCAAATGCCATATGTACATGTACTCTAATATAGTGCTTGTTAGCACATGAAACATGCTCACTGCTCGCTTAGCATGCTTTGTGGGAAACCCTGTGGTAGGACATGTTATTGTGCTAAATTGCATTTAATAAATTTATTTGAAAAATTACAGTATGTTGTTAGTAGAACAACACAAAATTTGGTCGGACAATTAAGCAAAATGGCCATAAATGTCCAATGTGCACTGTTACATGTATTTCAGGCTCTGACAGAGCAACTTTAATTCTTGTACTAAAGTATCCATTATTAGAGGCTACACTGAACAGTAACTATAAAATGAATTCCTCACTTTTCTAGAGGTAAAGTCCCAATTATGTAACACTCTCGCAGGAATAACAGCAGTTTCATTATGATGACAGTCAGGACAGTAGTATTGACCAGTGTAATCACAGAGTCTGACTTCAGTTGAATTATTGAGTGCTTGATTGCAACAAGCACATCTAAAGTGCTGAGGAGTCAGTCCTTTCTCTGGACATATATTCATTGTATAACCAGACTGTTCCTAACATTGAACATGTACATGTATATACATGTATGTAATAATGATTCAATCACTGATACACATGTACATGTACTATACAGTGTACACATACAAAATGTATTGGTAGTGTATTAATGTTGGTTGATTGTTGGTTGAAGTGAGCAGCTAACAATTGAAAAAGTGTGTGTGTGTGTGTGTGTATGTACTGTATGTACAGTACATGTACTGTACATGTATGTGTGCATGTACAATACCTTCATTGCCAAAAAGATACACTTTTGGTTAATTTGAGACAAACACTTAGCATGAGTGAAGTAACCACATACTAAATAAAAAAAACAAATAAATAAATAATAATAAAGTATAAATTTACATGTACTTACATGAGCAGCTCATTACAACTTGCAGTGGATTCACTGTTGGTTTATTACAAGTGTCACATTTCCTTGCTTTAAGTCTCTTAGGTAGCAGTGTCAACTGATGACCACAGACTTTAACATCAGAAGAATCAATCTCTGATAACTAGAAATGATTATGAGGAAATAAATATTAAGGATACACGTACTTGTACAAGTAGTCTTATGGTCAGTAAAATATGATAAAAAAGGAATTCATCATATACATCTACATGTACATTGTAAATTCAAATACATGTAAATACATGTACTGTATTTGCTCGAATAAACACCTTGCTCAAATAAATGCCAATGACAAAAGACAAATATTTTCTAACTATAGATACGCATATTTTACCCAATATATGTGCCCCAGGATTCAGATTGCAAACTGTTGGAGTGCAATTTGGAACGCTAAAAGATCGCGGGTTCGAACCCACTATGGGCTTTTTTGTTTTTTGTTTACTTGAATTTTTCCCTGTTAAGAAATAAACACCCAGGCATTTAATCCAGCAAATACGGTACATGTAATAATTAAAACACAGACATTTTCCATATTTCCTTAAATAAAAGTCCGGGCGTCTATTTCCTAAAGATTAATGGTATTTGGACCTCGAAAAAGAAACAAACTTAAGCCCAGAGCAGGATTCCAACCTGTGACCTCATGCATGTGACTGTAGGAACTTCAGGCAGTATCCACAAGACTACTGAGTTACTTCAAGCCTAGATTTGCATATTTACACTTGAATTCTATTGCTACCCTGGCATTTATTCACATGCGGCTTTTATTTAAGGAAATACGGTACATATTCAAAGCAAAACCTACATGTATTCTAGTGATAGTGAACATGCAGTGGCTTATGGATACAGCAACTATAGTATCAGATGTACATGCATATGTGTCTATTAAACACATAGAAACACTAATATCAAATAAAGTTTGACCACATTTAAGCTAATGCACAGTACGTGTGTCCGCATATATATAAAAATGTACATGTACATGTACTGTACACACATATACATGTACACGTACATCATGTAAATGTATACCTTTGCTTTTCTTCTAAAATTGGCTCATTTAAAAAATGTTCATACAGTACGTAAATGTACATGTAACTCAAAAAATATTTGTTGGAATCAGCTCAAACTTCTACACAGCATAATAAGTATAAGAAAAAGGTAATAAAAGGGTGTGATTTTAGGGCCATTACTCAGAAATAAACATGGGCTATGTATGTATGTATGCACTGTATGTACATGTATGTGTACATGTATAGTGTGTGCTCACTTCTTTCATTTCTTGTTTCAGCAGTTGTAATTTCAATAGTTTCTTCTGCGAATTGATGTCATTACTGTGTCGCCTCAGGTGATTCTTAAGTTGGGCTATTTGATACTCAACTAACTCAATTGTTAGCTCTTCTTCAAAGTACTCCTCATTCAATGACATCTTCTCGATTCCTTCTGAAGTCAGAAATGATACTTCTCTCTCATCTTCATGGACACTCCTTTCTCTGTTATAACCTTCTCCGATATCTTCAACGAGTTCTTCCTGTACCTGTTCCTCTTTTTCTTTAAATCCCTCAGTTTCATTGTTTTTCACGTTCAATAATTTAGTATTATCTGTCCCTACACTAGTTCCAGTATTATCAGGAGCTGGTACTGAATCAGGTAATAGAGGAGAAGGACTAAAATGAGCCGGTGAGCGAGAGAGAGGAGTCACGTTTGGTGATGAGTGAATATCAAACGGATTATTAGTTGGTTTATCAGAAGGTATGACAGGATGTGTGTTAGGCTGACTCTCCTCCTCCTCATCAAAGAATGGATTAGGAGAGAGGGTGGCAGGTTGTACAAACTGTTGAGTGGGTTGGTCAGTAAAATCAGTTAAAAACGGGTTAGTTGAGTTATAGTCAACTGATGTTGGTAAATCAACCTTCACTGATACATTAGAAGACATTGCCTCGTCTGTTGTTTTGATAACATCATTATCATCAGTAGTAGTGGGTCCTTCTTGACTATAGCTCACCATATCTCCTGTCTCCTCCTTCAGGGTATCTTCTCTCTCTCGTGCAGACATCTCATTATCTTTTGAAGGAGACAGACCTTTCGCCATTAGTAATATGTCGCCATAAGAATATTCGACTTCTTCAACTTGTTCCACCTTCTCTACAGTCTGCTCATCATTATCATCTTGTGTATCATTCTCCTGGGCTTCAGCTACTTCCATTTTCATTTCTTCATCTAGCGATAGGTCAACGTCAGGTTTATCAAGTACTCCCTCTTGAGAAGCAAGGGACACGTCTACCTCATCCTGTGGCTCAATACTAGTGCCTGTACCTTCAGGTATTGACTGTATCTCATCACTGATAGGACAAAGGACTGGCTCAACTGGTGGAGTTGCATTAGCATCAACATTACCATGAGGTAGTTTATCATCAAACATCATAATATCACCATCGTCATCGTCATCATCTTTAGCTGGAATGTATTTAATTGCCCCTCCTTCTCTCTCCTTTGATTCTTCTTTGATAACCTCCTCCTCCTCCTCCTCACTGTCTTCTAGTGCTTGATTAAACCGAGAGAGGTCAGTATAAGCAGCTCCTCCTCTCTCACTCACACTATCAATAACCAGGACAGTGTCCTCAATATGATAAGAAGCTTCTAGACCAGACACCTCGTCCTTTATCATCTGCAAAGACTGCACATCAGGTTTAATGTTACTATTATGTACATGTAGTTCGGTGGTGGGTGTGGCTTCAGGTATTCCGGTACTCAAAGATGATGAATCAGCACTACTTGAGCCCCAACTGCTGTCACTGCTAGTACTGACCTGAGGGCTACTGGTTGAGGAATGTACTAACTCACTCTTTTTACCTAAAAATAATACATGTACATGTAATAATGGCTGGTAACATTATGTACATGTAATAATCGGTGACATCAAGAGTACATAATATAAAGAGAGTATCGAACGGCCCTATAGCAGACTGCTGCATAAGGGCGTATTTGCTCAAAGTCACAATCTGCATACTCCAGTACACTTACATATCACGTGATCAACCATGTGGCAACATTATCTGACCCTTAGCTTTTAAAAACTTGGCAATCTCTTCCAATACAAGAAAGAAACTTGAAAGAAGGCTGGAAAGATGAACTACAAAGGCAGTGCTGCTAGTATCCAGGAGTTTGTGCCCCAAGCACTTACCAGCTCGTGACAATGGCAAATCAATGTCTACGCGATAATTATATTCATTGATAAAGTATACTGGAGTATGCGGATTGTGACTTTGAGCAAATACGCCCTCATGCAGCAGCTTGTATAGGGCCGATCGATACTCTCTTTAGGTATTATGTACTCTTGGTGACATACATGTACATGTATTTTTTATGACACAACACTAATAATAAATTCCTAATAATAATAATACATATACATGTACATGCACGCATGTGCATCTGAGTTAAAAATTGACAATTACATGGACATAAAAATGTAACTACAAAGGGTGATAGACCTTTTGGGTGAGAATGAATTATGTCAAAGAATAATATATGGCAAGGGGCATGACTGAGCCTGGCTGACTCTGAAATAATCTTTGTGGATGGAAACTTTCTATGGAGTATGAATGGGTTAATGCAGAAAGCAAGCTGTAATAAAGAATATGCTTCATATTGCACGAAATCCCTTTTAGGAGATGCTTAGCAGCAACCCTTCTTTCCTCCAACTAGCTTTTGTAGCTTGAAAAAGCTCCATGCCAATGAAAAGAATCAGTTTTAATTTTTCGTCATTCATCCTCCATTGAATCTTGCAGTCCAAAATGGCAGCCAATCATCACTGTAGGTGGATACCATAAACAACAGTAATGATATTCATAGGCCACCATTAATCTCACCTGAGGAGGTCTATATTAACAGTATATGTACATGTACTGTTAATAGTACATTAGGACACAGCATTTATGCAAGAGACATATTTGTAATTTTAATAACATGATAATAACAATTAATAATAATACTAGGCGAATGTAAAACATTAAGGGGCGAGCAAAACGATTAACATTTCGATTAGCAATATACAATGTCTACATAGACAATGATGTAGTGGCTATTAAATGTTGAATGTTGATGTCAATACACTAATGCAGAATTTGCACAGAAGGAATTTCAGCTTCTAGCTTTGAGTGAAGAATCTCTGCAGTTATATAGATCTAGGATGGAAGATAGTTGGTCTCAGAAGCCAGAAGGAGACTCCATTTGTTGTCTTTGGGTGCGACAAGACCTATCTCTAGCATTTGGACCTCTTCGCTCTTTTCTCCTCCTCAGTCTTGCCCCTTCTCATGCTCATCACGAAGAATTCGACGAGCTTCACGAGCATCTTCTTGTGAATTACTCATGCTTTAAGCTTCAGCTTCTCTTGTTTTTTTTGGATACTCTTGAACTCCTCTCAACCAGTGATTACTGAAGTTGCTCTTTGTTTTTGCACGTGGTACCGTAATTATCAAAATTATCATTTTAAAATGTGTGATTATTATTTTTTATAGACGCATAAATAGGGGTGACGTACGTGTACAAACAAACAAACAAACAGACATACTCGACTCGACTATGTGGGGCTCGCTTTTGCTCGTCCCAATAAAAAGAGACAAAAGTGACTTATTACATGTACATACACTTAGGCTCTAAAATGCCATTATTACTGACAAAAAGCAAGTACATGTACATGTGATTTTACCAGGTACATGTACATGCGTATCTAAACCATACTATAATACATGCACACTGTGTACACGCATTGAGGTAATAATGTAAATGTACATGTACATGTACCTTGAACAGGTTGAGGTGCTCTTAGTCTCAGGACTGGTTCCAAAACTTCAGGAGCTGGTGCAAACTCAAGACTGGCTGTATCTACTGGTATATCAAACCCAATCTGTGACAGACCAGTGAGGAGCTGACGGAATGGAGAGACTACCTCCTCATCTCTTAGGAAAGCATGAGACTCGTAATAATAGCTACAAGAAATAATAATGATAATATAATTTCAGACGATAAATTGTGCAAAATATGGCATTTTGTAGCAAATAAATCCTGGTGAAAATGTCAAATCTTTATGTACATGCTCAATGGCACAATGACAAAAATCACCACAAATTTAGCAATTTACATGTAGTTTTACCAAAAATTTTTTAAACACACGCACATGTATATATACATGTACATGTACATGAACATACATATGTATATGCACACTTTGTCTCACCTTAACATTTGATAGTCATGAGTAAGGACATTGATATAACTTTCAAGTGAACACTCATTAACTGCCAATCTGATCCATGCTCTGCACTTACCAGAGTCAGTCTGAGCATACTGAAGACTATACATGTACATATATGCATGTAATGAAATAAGAAAACATAATGAAACAAAAGTACATACACAATACACATGTACTAAAAAGCACAAAATTTAAAGCTCATTGCATGTACATGCATTCATTATTAGTAATAGCATTAATATTAATTTACCGATTAATATATTCAATTGCTTGTTTTCTTGATATTTTCAATACAATAGGCCAGAAGGTTGGATCCTTGCCAGCGGAAAACCATCCAGCCTTTAATCCATGACGAAGAATATCCTCGAACCTTGCACACAACCTTTGGACTGGACGACAATCCTTAATTATTTCACCTTCTGTACGTGCGAATAGCAGCTGTGTCTGGAAATGCACATACAATGTATATAACAGTTTTATAATAGCAGGTAATGTACATTGTACATGTACATGTATAGCTGATAAATTTCAAGGGACACAATTTTGGTGAATTGGTTGGTCAATTTTTGATAATTGGTGAGTTATAATTTCTGCTACAATCAATTGAGCATGTACATGTACATGTGCATAATAGTTTAAAATGGTGGATTTTATTTTGACAAAATGACTATCGAAATATCGCCAAAATTTCAAATCCAAAACTACAATTAAGAACTGAAGTGAAACAATGAATATGCTCTCACTGTACATGTACAGGTACATGCATGTTGTACGCTCACAGTAAACAAATTAATTAATGACCATCTATGCATTATATAGGCACATACAAATATTTATATTTCAATTACAATGAGAGAGTTTGCTAAAATTGACTAAAATACACTAACCTCTTTCACAACTCGAGCTAAATTCTTCAACAATACTTGTCTAATTTTGACTTGTTTTGTTAAGAATGCCGGATCATCTAAATAGAAACACACACATTTTAAAGTATAAACTGATACTTTTAAGTACCTTTTGGTCTAGCAAACAGTTTCTTTGCTTTAGAAAGATCCATTTTGATGGGAGTACACGCCCACTTCTTTAAAAAATTATACGGCCACACCTACTTTAATAATGGATAATCAAATTGATGAATTTTGTTTAGTGACAGGAGCAACGAGAGAAAGAGCCCAGTTCTTCCTTCAAGCGTCTAATGGTAATCTTCAAGCAGCACTGGACGGGTTTTATAATGAAGACTCAGTTCAAGATGAAGTACATGTTACCTGTTACAATATTTTATACATTGTACATGTATATTAGGAATCAGAAACCACACCTTCAATTTCTCCTCCTCCTCCTGCTGCTAAGCCAGGACCAGACAAACAGTATGATAACTCTAAAATTGCATTTACTAGCATAATTTACAAATGTATATACATGTACATGTACATGTATGATTACTAAAGTTTTCCTCCAAAACACTCTATACTACCGTAGGACGATTTATATTCGCGGCTGCTGCTAATATTCGCGATTTTTTCCTGCAGCTAGCAATTGAGATAGCAACCAGGTGCTATTTTAATTGAAAACGGCGTGGTATTGAAGCACAGCACCAGGTTACAGTGCTCTTGAGCTGTTATTCTTCTTGCTGCTACTAATCCTTGGACTCTTTGAAGCTGCTTTGGCCAGTTCTTTTCAAAAAATACTCTACTCACTCTGCCTTGCCATGTCTTGGGACTCTCCACCCATTCTAGTAATCTAGTTATTGTTTATTGACTTGGGTGTGGTTTATAATAATGACGGACCAACCAGTACTGATCTTCCATCTATAAAAAAAGATAACAGATAGAGAATTGGAGTCTGGATGGCTCCACTAAAGCTGCTAAAGAATAGCTGATTAGCTACTGAACACTGTGATTGTATAAACACGTGGTCAATTGTCATAGCAAGTAGCAATTGGTTTCCATGGTATTTAATTAAACTTCTTTATTAGCTTTTATCACCAGGAATATTAGCAGCGGCGAATATAGCCCGACCTATGGTATAACCATACATTGCTATTTCAACAAAATTGAAAGGGAAAGAAATTTTTAATACCTTTTCCAGATACATATTATAATGTTCATGTTCATGTACTTATGCTGCGTGGAAAGTTAGAGCTGAATCTGATCAAAATTGTTTTTTTACATTGCTTGAAAATTGGGCCAAAGTCCCTATACTATAGTATAGCGTCACAGGGCGAATCTTGCCAACATTGAAAATAAAATAACCTGTTATTATAATTTTTCTAATACATACCGTATAGCGGAAAATTTTCGTGGCCCAAAATTTTCACGGATCCGTCCAAAAATCAATTTTGTGGCTTTAATTTTCGTAGTTTTCTACAATTCGGCCATCTTAAAGCGTATAAAATTGATTTTTGTGGACTTTATTTTTGTGGGTTTGAAAACAACGTGAAATCCACGAAAATTTTGGGCCACGAAAATTTTCCGCTGTACGGTACATTGTACATGGACATGTACATGTATGTATATGTACTGTATTTTCTCAAATAAAAGCCCAGGTGTCCAAAAAGTTGGGGCCTCTAAAAAATTATAAAAATAAAATAAAACTTGAGCTAACAGGGAGATTTGAAACATGGACCACACACTTAGAACTTCTCAAAGCTTGAGGAAGTATCTATTTGTATATGTATGTTAGTTTAAGGCTAGATTTGTGTATTTATAGTTCCATTTTATTGCTAAAGGGGCATTTATTGCACCCGGCTTTTACGTGAATTAAGATATACAGTACACGTATATGCTTTGTAAGAAGTTATTATCAATTATTTTTAATTTTTATCTTTTTCTTGTACATATACACCCAGTAAAGTGGCCAGTTTGTCAGATTACACTTCAAGTGAAGGTACCAAAGATGATGAAGGACAGTCTTTTTTTGCTGGAGGATCAGAACACAGGTACACTAGTAAGAACGTTAATTTATTATGTACATGTATTGTTTTAGTGGTCAATTGATATCTGGTCC